CCAGCCTCCGCCCCTTTTTTGGGCACAATCTGCAGGATCTCTATTCCAGGTACCAAAATGGAAATCTCTGTGACGAATGAGGGGATCAGAAGAATTATTCGCATCTGTTCCTAAAAAAATAAGGAAGTAGCATAATCTCAAGATCTAGATAGCGCCTTGGAGCCTAAAGATTATTTTTTGACGTAAAATAAAAATAAAAAAACAGACAAACATACAGCACAAAACTTAATTCAAACAATAGCGACATGCTGTTTCGATGAAATAAGTTTTTCTTAGCATCACATTGTGCTCATTCGATTTAGCGCCCAGGGTGCTTATTTACTTTTGGTACCGCGGGGTAGGGTGCTCATTCGAGGAGGGCGCTTATTAGGGACAGGGTGCTTAATTCGTTTTAGAGAAACAGCAAAGCTGGAAAACGGACTTATTGTTCCGCGTGGATCCTACGCTGCTTGAACGACTAGCCAAGCGATCATCGCAAGATTTTTAAGAAGGGATCTTTCGATTACAGGAACAGTGCACTCTCGGCGACATTATAGTCGAGAGACTGAGAGGAAGATCACATTTTTTGTCGTAAGGCTTTGGGTGAGTAATTAATGCAAGATGGGTCAAGGCTGATCTCAATGGACATGTGGACATGTATTCTAACGGTACTAGTTCTATTATTGAAAAAGAACAGGGGCTTTTCTTGCAATAGGGGCACTTATTGGAATGAAGGTGCCTACTCATTAGGAGCGCTTTGTATAGTGAGGGCGCTTATTTACACATTAAGTTCGAAGGCCTTCGGGGTAATGCTTAAAATTGATTTTACGAGGTAGGGAAAGTCGACAATTTGATAAAACCTTGCAAGTAAGGTAACTGATCAAATTCTAATATTTTGCAAGAGGCGAGTTCAACAACTGTTCTATCGCCAACAGCTTCGGAAGCAAACTGTCAACGGAGGAGCGTGGGCCTAACTGTGCACGGGCAGAATTGACAGGAAAACATAGTTTAACGGGAATACGTAAGGAAAATAAACATTGTTTTCTGGTTAACAAGGGGTAATGGTGGCTAGGGTGGAGGGGGGAGGGCTCTCTGACAGTATGAGGGAAGTAATATATAAAATATAAATCGCACGATAAATGGTATAAAAAAAAACGGTTTAATTACTTGTAATATTGCCAATGTACAGCCGGTACTCTACCATCTCGGTCCCAATCCCGAACCAGTCATACTCAGCGTGAACAGTTTTGCCAGTAATTGCTCCCAGATCTACTCGAAGCCTGTTATATGTCATGTTTCGTGTCAGGCGGTGTATCTTGTCCAGGCCAAGCCAAAATTCACCGACCAAATTACCAAAGCCATGTTTGTAGTCATCCCAGGTGCGGTTAAAATCAACGGAGCCATCTAGTCTTTTCTGAAACACTGCCCAGCCCCCACCGGATGTTGTTTGGTCACAATATACATTAAAGGCACCTGAACCATCTGGGTCGATTGCATAAACACCGCTGATCCTTCGGCCGGATTTGTACAGTTCAGCACAGTTCTTAGCTGATCCAAATATAACAATAAGAGTTAAAATGAATAAATGGTAATATAGGTATCAACACACATGATCTTAGAGAGTCTTACTTACGTCTCGCCAATGTTTTGTTCTCCATAAGAATGTTAACCTCGTATCGAAGTTCAGTGATTTGCTTGATTATTTCTTGCAAGCAGACTGCAGTGTTATTTTTACAATCTATTGGGGCTGCACGTGTTGATGGCTTTATTTGAAGGGTCACAGAAAGTGCCAGAAAAAGCATGACAGAACCTAAAGGAAAGAAAGCTGATCATAAGGTGTAAAATTACTACCTGGGGCAGGTCCTGGATCAATAAGAGAGTTCGGATAAACATCTACCGAAGGCATAAATGCAGTCCTGAGAAGAGGATAAAAGAAGAAGAAGAAGGTATTTGAAGGTTAACAATAGTAGATGAAGGTGGATGTAGCTAGGTAGAGGATAGCAGATGAATAAAGATGAAAATGGAGATCATTTAAAGAGGATGAATGACAATGAAAGTAGATAAATGTGGATGAAGATAGAAGAGAGTCGAAGAGATAGAAGAGATAGAAGAGATGAAGATAGAAGATAAAAGGATGGTAGATGAAAGTAGACGACGGTAAAGGAAGGTAGATAAAGGTAAATGATGTTAGATGAATGAAAATGTAGGAAGACAACGTCAAATTTAGATAAATGAAAGGCGACGAAGGTAGAGGAAGGTCGATAAAGGTAAATGGTGGTAGTGGTAGATGAAGAGATAGGAACGTAGATGAAGGTAGATGTAGGTGGATGTAGGTAAATGATGGTAAATTCAGGTTGATAAAGGAATATGAGCGTTAGGAAAGGAAAAACATGGTGAATCAAGGTAGATGATAGATGAAGGTAAGCAATTGTATATATTTGAAGGTAAACTGAACAGTTTAACAAAGGAAGATAAAGGCTAATGATGGTGGATAAAAAGTAAATGATAGTAGATAAAGGTACACGAAAGTCAATAGAGGCCGGTGAAGGCGGATGAAGATAAACGATGATAGATGAAGGAAGAGTAGATTAAGATATCTAATGAAGGTACAAGAGAGTACATGATTTAAAAATAATAATGATAATAATAATAATAATGATAATAATAATACCTTTATCTAGGCACGATAATGTTTAAAGCTGAACTACTTGTGTGGTCGTGTGTAAATCCAAATAAACTCTAAACTAAATGAATTCAAATGATGATAGTCTTTTAGGAGAGAGGAAAACCGGAGTACCCGGAGAAAAACCTTTCAGAGCAGAGTAGAGAACCAACAAACTCAATCCACTTATGACGCTGGGTCCGGGAATCGATGCCAGGACACATGGGTGGAAGGCGAGCGCTGTCACCACTACGCCAACCCTGCTCCTTTTAGCGGAAGAACGATGAAGGGAGATGAAGCTCGATGAAAGTAGAAAGTGAGATGAGTGTAAACGATGGTAGTGGAAGGTGGAACAAGCGAAATGATCGTAGATGAAGAAATATGAACGTAAATGAAGGTAGATAAAGGTAAATAGTTGTACTTGAAGGAGAACGAAGGAAGATGAAGGACAATGAAGGTCAGTGATGGCAGATGAGGGAAGATGGTGGTATACAAAGGTAAAAGAATTTAATGAAAGGTATCTGAAGGCGTATGAAGGTAAATCAAAGTAAGAAAAGTTAGATAAAAGTAGCTGGAGGCATATGAAGGAAGTTGAAGGTAAATCAAGGTTAATGAAGGTAAATAGACGTAAATGAAGTAGATGAATGTAAATGAATTTAAATGAAGGTAAATGAAGGTAAATGAAGGTAAATGAGGGTAAATGAAGGTAAATGAAGGTAAATGAATGTAAATGAAAGTAAATGAAGGTAAATGAAGGATAATGAAGGTAAATAAACGTAAATGAAGGTAGGTGAATGTGGAAGGTAAATTAAGGTAAATGAACGTAGATGAACGTAGATCAAAATAAATAAATTGAAATAAAGGTGGATGTGGATAGATGCATAGGATGATAGAAGAAGGTAAATGAACATAAATTAGCGTAAATAAACAGATAAATTAATGTGAGGGTAAATGAATGGAGATGTAAGTAATGTATACTTTATATAAATACGTAAATTATATACCACGACTCTTGGTGGGTATTTGCGAGAGATCTTTCTCACTCCGCCAATATGTTTTTGAAACACACGTTTTTGAGCACGCTGCGCGGTTCTAGCGTCTGAAATCTTTATAAATGTCTGTCGCTCAAATCGCTCGACAGAAAAATTACTTCGATTTTTTTTCTCTGAAGGTAGATGCTTTTATTTTCTTACAACTAAATTATGTTAAATTATCAAGTCCTGTAGCAAAGAGGAAGCTACCATTTAATGCGGATTTTACAGCCCCGTGTACCGCATAGTGACTTTGAGCCAGATCAAATAGTAAAACAGAATAAGTGCAGTACTTCTTTGGAGAGATGAATAAAGAGGGCAGAGAGTGTAATTGAGAGGAAAAAGAGGAAAGAGCTCGAGACCTGTTTCTTCAGAAAAATTGCAGAAGTAAATCCTTAAATTTAACTACACCAAAACCCTTCCGATTACAAAACGAGGACTTCAGGGCCATAGCCATCATGTATTTTGTAGCAACATGCATGAATGCATGAATATCATTTAAAATAAAAAAAAGCCGGAAAGGACTAAAACAGAGCATTTAATTCGTTCTTACACCTACGAAACTCGGCACGAAGGACGATAAAACAGCTTTATACTCTCATGATACTTGTTAGGGGAGCCATTTTTAAAAGCTGACAATATATGTTAATCGAGCTTGCCACTGACTCGACGTTAACTTGCCGTCCTCAATGCAACAGTGAATACAAACTGACATAGCTTACTTCTCGCCTTATCCGGGTGCGTTAATCAAAATTACGTTATTCGACCGGCCATGTTTGAATACGGCCACCGTGGGATGGCAGAAGCAACAAAAACCTGCTGAACACTGACCACAAAAACTGTGCTTTCAATGCATGCTATCTCACTTCAATGTGATATTTTCAATCAAACGATTAAACAAGCCGATTTTGGGACTTGGAAATTGAATTCTATAGAACACAGTAGAGAACAAGGTTATACAAAGTTATAGCTAATCACTAGCGTGAAGGTTCCACTTTGCTAGATAAGCAGACTGTACTTTATCTGAACCAGCATTGAAAACCATTACGAAACGTCTAGAGTTCAACTTCTTTCCCTTGCCGATTGATGATACAGAGAACGCTTTTCGAGAGGTCTTGAATTATGCAAAAGTAAGTCTTACATGCAAATCCTCATGGTGTAACACAGTTCCTATATCTGTTTGCCTCTTTAATTTGAGAAGCTCTCGCATTACTGTTATGTTTCACGAAAAGTCCTATATTTGAAAAATTAATAACTAGATGGAGCGCAGTATTTATGGAAGTTTATTATATAGATACTGATGAAATACCAGGATTTCTCCTTTTACT